AAAAAAAAAAAAAAAAAAAAAAAAAAAAACCCTACAAAAGAAGCCACATATGGCTATCATTGGTCAAAGCAAATACACAGCTGTTTCACTTAGTACTATATTTAGTCTTAAGAATCATACCTGGGCATAGTTCATTCAAAAAGCAATGACATTCACTTGAAATCAGAGAACAGTCTAGGACTGGGCTATCAGTTTATCAGCTCCACCTGCTTTTGGAATGTTTAATAATAACATACAGGCACAGGAAAAGGGTTTGTCAAATTAGTCTTATCCACAATGGCTGTATTAATACTTGAATCACACACATTAAAGATAGAGTATATGTTTTCATATTTGCCCATCATGCATTTTGTCTTGAAGATAAGGAGAAAAAGTACCACATATTTTGTCTCCAGAAGCCTATCTAGTGAGAGTTCTTCCTGCTGTGTATGATTCTAGCAGATGCAGTCAACACCTGAGTTATCCCTGTGTACACTTTAGGGGATCTATTAACTTTAGTTTCAAAAGGCAAATTCTGTGTATTCAAATTTCCTTTTTCCAAGCACACAGTACTTTAAAGCTTGTTTGGCACACACAAAAACAAAACACAAATGATTCTCTGCACTGCCCTCGTGATTTGGGGTCTAGAGAGTTTAATACCAGATCCAGTCCAAACATTCTCACCTCAAAAAGTCCTACATCTTACAGGTTTTCAGAAATGTGGGAGATTTTATTATCCTAAGGTGATATAGCCTGGAATTTCCTGTGTGGTACAATTTAAAATATGACTCCCAAAGCCCCTGGCACTTAATAGATTATTGTATAGGTCATTGTTTATGCTTTTGCCTCCTCAGTGGACTTTTCATCAACGCATTTATCCTACAAGTTTCTAAACACCTACTCTGCCACACTAGTCTAGGTGCTGGCAGCAAAGGTAATAACTAGACAAAGTCCTCCAGGAAATTTACTCTCAAATAGAGATACAGGGCCAGGGATTTAGCTCAGTGGTGCTGCCACCTGCCTCACAAGTACAAGGTCCTAAATTCAATCCCTGGTACCAAAACAAAACAAGCAACAACAAAAGAAACAGATACAGATGGATAATAAAAGAGTGAAATACACAAGATATATTTATATATTGACAAGTATTAAGAAAACAAAAGTACAGTAATGTGATAAAGTGATGGGAGTCTTTTAGACCCTGTGGTCAAGAAAGGCCTCATGAGGAAAAAAAATAAATAAAGGCCTTAAAAGAGAGGAAGTTAGAAATCAGCTCTGAATACAAAATTGCCAACTCTGCTGGGAGTAGTGCGGCAGGACTATAATCCCAACACTCAGGAGGCTGAGGCAGGAGTGGAGGCCAGCCTGAATTATATATAGCAAGACCCCTGCAAGAATAAATACATAAACCAAAGTTGCCAACTCTAAAAAGTAGTAACAGTCTGGAACTAAAATAGAAAGTATCTGTGTACTAACAGAGCAAGTTGACTTTAATAATAGCAAGTGATATTTTTAGCACAAAAAGTCTACTAAATGTCTATTTGAATTATTTTAGTTAACTCTTACAAGGGAAACCAGAGGAAGAAATTAAAGAGACACAAAATACTGGCTCAACTGAGCTCTGTGGATACAGGCCAAGGGAACAGTGACCTAAACCCAAACTTCTGATCCTAAAAACTATCTTTTCAATTACTGACTCTCACTGAACCCTGAGCATCGGCATGACGATCTCGCTGTTCTGCTCAACCAGCCTGATGTGTTCTCCAGCCCTCCCATGTCCCCACATCCACAAACCTAAAGCAGAGGAGGCCTTCGCGGTTAGTCCTGCTTCTGTCCCTCCTGTTGGGAAGTGAGGGGTCCTTCAGAGGGAGGCGGGGTGGGGGTGCTGAGCCACAGGTTCTCTGAAAACTAAACTGGGACCAAACTCATCCCCAGAACAGAGTAAAAGGCCATCATGGCAGATGTCGCCTAGGTTTAAGACAGGTTGCAAAAAATAAAAAAATCAGGATGCTCAGTTATGTCTCAAACGTTGCAAGAGACTTTCTAAAAAAAAATATTTTTCATGTGAAATTCAAATTTTTTTTACCTGGCAATATACTTGGGGTACCAGCTCCCAAGCCCTTTGTAGGAGCAACTAATGATGTCTCCACAAACATTTGAAGCATCCTATTAGATGGGACACCCAAGGGGTGTACTTCAGGGGAAAGGAGCCAGCCATAAGCGGAAGGCCAGAGAGACCGTGAGCACTGGGGTAGTTTCGCTGCTTTTCAATTATGGGAGAAGGGAGGGCTGAAGGAGCTCTCGTGAAGGACTTCGATTTTTTAGAACTACCTACCTCCCTCCCTGTCCCCCAAACCTGTGTCGGGATCGCTGTTCTCTTTCGTAAGACACCTCCTCCCCAGCCCCAGACTTCTCTGCTGGGAGCTACAGTACCGAAGCCGACGCCCCCCGAGCAGGGAGCCCCGCCCCCGACAGGGCCACACCCCTTTGTTACCGGAGACTTTCTGGGTCAGCTGGTTCCGGCGTCAGGCGGAGGGATGGGCTGGCTCAGCTCGACCCTGCAGGGCTTGTTTACTATGGCTGATGATCTGGAGCAGCAGTGAGTTAATCCCGTCTCTTTCTCTTTCTCTGTCTCTCTCTCTCTGGGCCGTGATCCTGGGACTGTCTGTGGCTGAGGAGCAGTGTTAGACACCTTTCCACCTTTCCATTCTCAGGTCGGCTACCAGGGAGGGCTAGGAGTTGAGTTTGCCTGCTTTGCTTTTGCCCAGATGAGGCGGTTGGCAGCGCCTGGCGAGCAGTGGTTGATGAGCTTCGGCTGCAGCTCAGCGACTCTGGCTTTCCACTTAGTCGTCGCGATTGCCCCTCGATTAGTGCTAATGCGCGAGATTCCGCCAAATGCAAGGTCGCGGGACGCGCGTGCGGGGGCAGCAGCGGGCTTACTGGTCCAGACGCCCCGGGACCGACCACAACGGTTCTTGTGATCATTGCCGGTCCTAGCCCGACCCGGGGAGGGCGTTGGGAAGAAGGAAGAGGTCCCCGCTGCGCTGCGTTGGTATGGAGTGATGCGCTTACAAGTTTCTTCAGCACGCGCCTACCCAGACACGTTGTGGCTTGCGTCCCTAATTACGCTTTTGATCCTTGCGACTTTCTTAACGCAGTGGTTTCAGAATTAGATTTGTTAGATTTAGTATTTTGTTTTGTTTTTTAACCAAGGGCATCAGGTTTGGGATGCCACCTGTAGGCGGTGTGACCAGCAGTTTGCAGTCTGATAGCAAGGAAAAGTTGCTTCCAGGAGAATGACTCAGCTCCAGGCCATGCCTTGGGTTTCACCGGTACAGGCCTTTCCTGGACCTTCTGGATCTGTAAAATTGATAGTCTAGGAAAACGAATTAACTTGAAGACGATAATAAATCGCTTCTTTAGGCTTGAAGGGCCTGCCCAAGAGAGTATTGCTAAGATGGTTTTTCCAAGAGAAAATTAAGAATGCTACAAAGACTTAGGGAAACATTTTTAGAGCTGGAAAAGCTCTGATTTACAAACAAAGCAGCTCAGGCTGTTAGACTGTGGGGGGGTTGCCCAAGATCACAGATGTCCAGGACAGGGTCCTCGCCCAACACAGACCTCCGTTTGCTTTATTCCCATCAGAATGGAGAACAGGCCAGGCTAAGTTGATGACTGGGTTGCTTCTCAGCTCCTTGCCTCAGTTTCCCACATCTGCTCTTAATCTAGTATTGAGGTTAAGTGTTGAGCAGATACAATGTATCAGGAGCCATTTCCTGTACTTTACCTGTAATACTTTGGATGAGGAAGAAAGGCAAAGTAAGGCACTTCCCTACAATATCTGCAGAGCCACCTGTGGCCCCGTTACCTGGGACAGCATTTCTTCTGAGTCCTGCTTTGGGCAGTGTGAGCCCAGGTGTTATGATCCGACCTATCACCGTCTCCCTGATGTGGAAAGTTTGTCTCTTGGGACCTAAAATTCTGTGGACCTGCTTTCCACGCTTCAAGCCATCAAGGAATTCCCATAAAATATTCAACATTTTTAAGAGTCTCCCTGGGATTAGACTGATTGAAACTGGCAGCTGTCATCAGGCTAAAACCATTGATGTACTACTACTCCTACCACAAGTTTTTCTTTCAAACTGCAACCATTGGAGAGTTTCTACTTGCAAAACAGTGGGAAAGTAGATAGCTTATGATTTAGCTGAGGGAAAAGAATGTTTACTGAGAGTTTATCTTCCGTTAGGTCTTTTTCTGTGTGCTTTAATTATATTAACTAATGCTTATAACAATCCTGTGACACCAGGTATGGTGGTACACACCTGGAATCTCAGTACTCAGAGGCTGAAGCAACAGGAACACAAGTTTGGGCCTTTCCTGGGTACCTCAGCAAGACCCTGTCTCAAAATTTAAATTAAGAAAAGGGGATGGAGATGCAGCTCAGTGCAAAGCCCTTGGGTTCATTCCCCAGTACACTAAAATAAAACAAAATAAAATTCCTGTGAAGTAAATACTTTTATATCCCTTTAAATGAAGAAACTAACGAAGACTTGCTGCTAAGTGGCAGTGCTGGATTAGAACTCTAGCCTGCTGGCTTAGATCACGTCTCCCTTCAGAAAGCAGAGAGAAAAAGTGACAATGTGGTCATATGCTCACATATGGCCTTGAAAAGCTGAAGCTGGAAGGTCCGGGGAGGAGAAACTGAGAAACCTGGATTTGAGATCTGGCTTCTAGTTTCATTCCTTTTCCTAACTTGTAGTATGACCTCTCCTGTTGTTTGGCAATCAGTTTGCTCACCTGTAAAATAAAGAGCTGGACTAGATGATTTCTAGAGAAACATCCTCATCTAAAATTCTGTGGCTCAAATGATTCATCAAGATGCCCAGTGAATACTGAAGGGTTTTATAGTGGTCCCGTCGCAGAACCATTACTCTGATGGTGCTGATGTTCCCAGGCCCTTCCTGTAGCTGTTGGTGTCTGTCCTGAACTCTCTTTACTGAGGCAGAGTTCAAGAAAAGAGAAATAGTACATAAGATGGGAAACAAGAACAAAAACTTTCATTTGTTGAGCAACTAATATGTGGTAGGCATCTGACAAGGTTCTTACAGATCTATGCACAAAAATAACATTAACAGGCCATAGCCAGGTGGCTGGTGAATGACAGTACAGTACTGCAGTTCAGGTCCTGAAGTTTGTTTTTTTTTGTTCCAAAGACGGTGCTTTTAATCTCTACCCTTCAATGACTTCAAGGTACGGGGTATGAAAGAGAAGGAATGAGTTAGCTTGTCTGTTTTATGGTATTTTATGGGAGATGAAGGCATGGACCAGCTTTTTACTTGCTTTACAATCTGGAAAATAAGGTCAGAGGTAACCTTTGTCCTATTGATGAGTGACAGCAGGACTTGAACCTAGGTCTTCCTCCTCCAGCCTCTTGCCTGCCTCACCTCTGCTTAGTGATTACCCAAGAACATGTTGGGGCCCTGACACATGCTCAAACACCCTTCTAGAGGCATGGAAGAGGGCCAGGGAATTTTCCTCTACTACTCTGAAGGAACAGCTAGTCCTGGGAATGGCAAAGGATAACTGAAGTGTTAGTTAAAAGTTGCTTTCTCTCCCATTTTAATCTCCTTAAACACAAATTATGATAACCGGTAACAAAAGGGAGTTGTGAAGCTCAAATGAGATAAGTGTGAAAGAGCTTTGTAAACAGTATATACATGGTGTTTTGAATATCTGTAGAAACAAGGAGCAGGGTGTCATTAACAGCCATTTACCAGGGAAGCGAAACAGTCTATCTAGCAAGGATGGCATTGCTGACTGCCATGGTGGGCAGCTCCCCTGAGGCTGGGAAACACCCTGTACTCTGATAACTCTGATAACTCTTCCGCAAGGCTGAAAAGCATCAGTGTTTCCTTTCCAATGTTGCCAATAAATATCTGTGTTTCCTTGTCCCAGGCCTCAAGGCTGGCTGAGCAGCTGGCTGCCCGCTTGGCGTCCCACTTCCATGTCTCAGCTGAAGAACGTGGAAGCCAGGATCCTCCAGTGTAAGTAGAAGGGACAGTTTGTCCCCACTTCCAAGAAGATTGCGGGATCTGCCCAGAGCTGGTTACACCAAACCCACTGATTCCTGATTTATTAGTTCATAGGGTGGGAGGAAGAGATGTCAGTGATTAGAGGGGGGATTCACACAGGACACCAAATTCCTTCATAACAGTTGCTCAGCTTCTCCCTAGCTGTGCCCATTCCCACCACATTCTACAGCTTTATCCAAACCCTCCATGTAGTTCTATGTGTTAATACACATTCACAGACACATATGTACGTGCTCCCCCTCCCTTCTTCCTTCTCCACTTCCTTCTCTCCCTCTGTTTCCAAAATTCACAAGCACCTCTTAATTTGCCACCTTCCTACCTGAGGACCAGCAATACTATACTCTCTAGTCTTGCTATTTCCCATGGTCTGTTCAGCTGGTCCCAGTTTTGGACCAACTGTCATGGTCAGTGGTACATTGGGGCAAGCATCTCATGAACAGTGGTGGCCACTGGCTCAGACAAGATCTTTGAGCCACATCTCCCTTTGTCGCCTCTATGAACATCTCTCACCTTGCCCCTACTATCCCAGCCATGGGCACCCCTTCTCTATGGGCCTGAGTAAGGGCAGCTACAGAGCAGCCTGAAAAGGATTAAAAGAATCCAGGCTCCTTTGCCCAGGCCATTGTATTGAGTCACTGCTACCACACCAGCTGAGCAAGCACTGCCCCACCTCAGCATATATGAGCAGTAAGTCCAAGGCTCAGCATACTCCCATCACCCTCCACCTGGCTGGACCACAGTTCCACCCATCTGTCAAGTCCTAAGTACACGCAGCTCCAAAAGCAATGGACGCAGGAGCTCTGTGGAATCAATGTCTCTGCCACCCTAGACCCAAAGGGAGCTAGGCTCACAGCCTCAAGGAATGAGGTAGCCCCTCTGATTACCTACAGTCTACACAGTCCACACATTGGGCTTGAAATTGGACTCTTTAGGGTATGTGATCCAAAAGAAAGAATATTCTGAGTAATTAAATGAGTTAGGAAGACAGACTATTGGAAGAGTGGAGAGAGATGAGGCTCGATTCTGTATGTTACAAGGACAAGTGGGGACTTAAAACTGAGGATCCACTGAGTGATGAGGTCAGTGGATAGAAAATAACTAAGAGGAGATACCCAAAATGAGAGGTTCTTACTAAACTGACTTAACAGGATTCATTCTGAAGGAAGGTGAAGGACTGAGATTTAAAAGGGTGAGGAGATTCTTGTAAACCTGACTTAGTAGAATTCTTGGTAAGACTGAGCTAGGTAGGCTGAAGACAGGTGAAGACAAAGATCAAGCAAGACCTAGTCAAAAAGAGAGCTCAGAACAGCTTTCCTGAAGTTTGGTCAAGGAAAGAGACTTTGTCAGTGGTCACTGGGTTTTGGAAGGGAAGAGCTAAGGAAGTTGGAAAGGGCTTGGAAATGGAGAGAAAAAAACTGAAGAGTTAGAGTCCAGGCAAAGTGTTTTTTGCCATCAGGAAGTAGTCTCGGTTTTTTTGTTTGTTTGTTTGTTTTTGTTTTTAACTTAGTTTATTGGTACAATTTAGACATACAGAATGATCACATGATTCATCATATGGAGTTTGTACCTGTACATCATATATCTTAGTTCTTTTTTTTTTTTCCCCATTCCCCTTCTTTCCCTTGAATGATATGAAATAGGAAGAAAAAGTTCAAATGGGAAGGGGTACCAGGGAGGGGGGAAGGGGAAGGGAAAAAGGGAAAGGGGAAAAAACAGAGAAAAGAAAGATAAAACAGAAACAAAGTAGTCTTGTTGGGCTGGGGATGGGACTCAGTGAGTGGCACCGCACCTGCCAGGCAAGCTCAAGGTCCTGAGTTCCATTGGAGGTATTGGGGAAAAAAAAAAAAGTAGTCTTATTGATTCACCCCGGCATTCTCTCCTCCCCAGGTCTCCAGAACAAGTTCCTGGCCCGATATGTGTCTCTACCAAATCAGAACAAGATCTGGACGGTGACTGTGAGCCCTGAGCAAAAGGACCGCACCCCACTAGTGATGGTGCATGGCTTTGGGGGTGGGGTGGGGCTCTGGATCCTCAACATGGATTCGCTGAGTGCCCGCCGCACACTGCACACCTTCGATCTGCTCGGCTTTGGGCGAAGCTCAAGGCCAACATTCCCAAGAGACCCAGAGGGTGCTGAGGATGAGTTTGTGACCTCAATAGAGACATGGCGGGAGACTATGGGGATCCCCAGCATGATCCTCCTGGGGCACAGTTTGGGAGGATTCCTGGCCACTTCTTACTCTATCAAGTACCCTGAAAGGTAATGAGGATCCACCTCTGTCCTTCATGACTTGACTCCTTGCCTTGCCGGGAATTTTCCAGTGTTCACTGCCAGTGTTTCTCTTCCTTCTAGGCAACTTAACGGCAATGGTACATCCAAGCAAATCCAATGTGTTCTTTTTCTTCCTGTGATGTAGAGTTAAACACCTTATCCTGGTGGACCCTTGGGGCTTTCCCCTCCGACCAACCGACCCCAGTGAGATCCGTGCACCTCCAACATGGGTCAAGGCGGTGGCATCGATTCTGGGGCGTTCCAATCCACTCGCTGTTCTTCGAGTAGCTGGGCCCTGGGGTGAGTATCCTACAAATGAAAAAATTCAACCAGAGCTGTCCCAGTTAACCAATCCTCACCACACCTTCTTATCATCTTCACTTATTCATCGACAGTGGGGCTAGGTCTTGCATTGTTACTTAAAGCCACTAATCTGGACCAGACTTTTTCGAGGTCTCAGAAGGGTGTTTTTCTTCCCCCTTCGTCTTCATGGAAAAAGTTTTCTTATGCAAGGAACAGATGAGCAAAGCAGCTGCCCATGCTTTGGCACACTCCCAGAGAGAGGAAGGGGCTGTGAGGTGACTCTTCCTCTGTCTGCATGACAGCCCCTGTTAGTGACTTGGGTGCAGTAATCACCAGTGGAGCCCAGCCCATGACTCACCCAGCACCTGCAGCAGGGAGGGATCAGTGACCCACAGAGGCAGGCAAGGCCCTCTGAACCATGCCTTGCTCCAGGCAAGGACCACATCTTAATTTGCTCTGTGCCACATGCACCAAGGAGCCATCAGCAAATTCTTTGGATAGAAGGGAGAGGAGGAGGTGGAGGTGGGGTACCAGCCATAGTGAATACTGTCAGTAGCTCAAGTTTTCTGACCTCACACTGTCTGTACCCTTCCCTCTGTACCCTTCCTCTGAAGAAGTAAAGAGTAGATTTCGTTATGGAAAAGATCAGTGACCCCTGTCTTGTACTGATGGTTTATGTTTATAAAGAAGCGTTCAGTAGTCAGTTATTATGAGTTGCTATTGGCCACTTCTCACAAACAGAAGACCAGAAGAGAGAGGGATGAGAAGTGGACCATTAGGATCAATAGTCAAAGTCTGTTTTAGCTGCCCTGCTACTTGTATTTGTAATATAAGTAGAGGTGAAAGGAACAGATTGTTTTAATAGCACCCTCACCCTGAGGTGCCAGTGTTGTTGTTTGGTTTGTTGTTGTTGTTGTTGTTGTTGTTGTTGTTGTTGTTTTTGAGATAGGGTCTCACTATGTATTTGAGACTGACCTGGAACTCACTATGTAGCCCAGGCTGGTCTCGAACTCACAGCAATCCTCCTGCCTCAGCCTCCCAAGTGCTGGGATTACAGATGTGCGCCACCACGCCCGGCATGCCAGTGTTGTTAAGGTCACCTCTCCACATATTCTGAAAATGAGAGGGCTCCTGGGAGGAGGTCCAGTTTTATCTGCTATCTTCAGAAGATTAAAAGGCCAGAAGGGTTTCAGGGAGAAAGAATATAGCTCAGACTAAAAGAAAAGTAGCTCAACTATAGACTCTTGTGGAGTTTGTGATCCTTGTAGAAAATGACTCTGGACTTCACTGAGCTCGAAATAACCTGGTTTCTCAGCAATATTAGACTCTCTCTTCTATAAATTCTTTGGTAACCCACTAACTCCCATTTGAAGGCATCTGAAGCTTCCCAGATTTCTACATTCTCTGTGCCACTGTAATGTTAAACAATAAAGCAAATAAATGCTTAAAATTTGGCTACAGATGTTTAAACAGACACAAGCAAGAATCTTACCGTTCTCCTGTCCCAACTGGCTTCTCTTTGCTTTCATCCTCTCTCAGGGCCTGGCCTGGTGCAGAGGTTCAGGCCAGACTTCAAGCGCAAGTTTGCGGACTTCTTTGAAGATGACACCATATCTGAATATATCTACCACTGCAATGCACAGAATCCCAGGTGAGGATGGCTCCCAGGGCAGCCTGTGGTGGGCACTTTGGAGATAAAACTCCAGCTGCAGAATACTGTGCTTTATTTCTTCTCCCACAAAGCACTGACTCAGTTAGGGGAACGCAGGTACAAGTAGGCTTGATCATTTCTAGAGAGCTCCCCAGAGTTGGGCACAAGGGAATGTAGAAAATAATGGATTAATTTAAACATGCCATTGGTCACTAGAGGAAGGCCCTCTCTTTTCCCTAGAGACAGGCAGTTGGCCTGGGTCTAGGAAGCATTTCAAAAGGATCTTTTTGTTTTTTTAAACTGAAAAAGTTATATAAAGCTGTTATTTTTTTAAAAGGGAAAGAGAAAGAAGGAGAGGATGTCCACTGTCCTCAAACTCCAGTTCTCAAATTTGCCCATGATTTTCAATCTAAGGTGTCACGTGTCACTGCACAGAGTCCTTTGCACACATACTCAGGATATCCACAGAATACACCCCTACAGATAGAGTGAACATGCATGCATTTAATTTCATTCTGTACACTTTGAAATAGTTTATCATCATCAGGACTGAAATTCTTTCACTTCTTTTGGAGATGTGGGGGTGTCCCTAGAACCTTAAGGGGTTCCTATCTCTGGCTACTCACACAGCCGGCCCCATAGCTTGCCAGCTGCTGTCACAGCAGTGTTGACAGCTAGGGTAATCTTACCCTCCAGCAGTGCCTGTGAGTGCCTGATACTATTAAGACGCATTGGTGGCACCACCTCTGTACCAGCCTCACCCTGTGCTGCTGGGAGGCATCTCGGAGCCAGGGCCACTGTCCGTCTCTTTCCACATCACCTCTTGTGACCCCAAAGCTGTGCAGAGGCAGAAATTTCCCTTTCAGCAATATTGTTAGTATGAGCCACAATCCCAGGGAGCTCTGGAGCAGGGTGGGAGCTGTCTAGCCAACACGTCACATAAATGGAGGGAACCTTGTTCAGCAGTGCTGTAGAAACAGGGCTCGAGGGCAAATCAGGTGCTCTGAGCTTCCCACTCTTGGCTGTTCTCTGCATCCACAGGCTCAGTTGCTAAGTCTCACAGGCCCAACTCTGGTGCTTTCCTCATCTCGGACCTACTTCTATGCGGTGGCCTCCCAGTCAGAGCCACTGAGTCTATCATCTTGCCGCTTGTGTCTTGGAGGAAGCAACGATGACAACAGGATAACCAGCTTCCTTGGCCCCCAAACACCATCACTCTATTTCATAACTCCTTGAGTTTTCTTATTGGTAACTAACAAACTCAGGAAATTCTGTAATGAGTCTCTTGAAAAATGTGAAAGTTGGCTCAGAAAAATGTTTGAGGGTATGTACTTCACTTCACCTAAGCTTAGTGACTTTGTATATATTTTCATTCTCTTAATCATGACCTAATAAGTGGGTAAAACTCTCTCTGATTTGTAGATGAGACATCTACATGGCTTTACATGATTTCCTGAAAAAACATCCAGGATTGTAATTCCTGTTGGTCTGACTCCAAAGTCCATAGTTTATCCACCACACTGTGATGTCTTCAGGAAAAGTTCTCAGTTTATGGTAACCTGGGCAGAATTCATCCCAGGGATGCTAAGAAGACCCAGATATAACTACACTAAACAGCCCATGCCTAAAGGATGGCAGTGTCCCCAACCTTTCCACCTCTTATAAAGGTGCAGACCAGCCCAGGAAGCCTTGCAGATACCTTGTGATATGGCCTGTTAGTTCTACCAAAGGAAATGACCAGGAGTAAAGTAGAGCAAACTGGCATTTGTTGCTTCTCCCTTAGCAAAAAATACTGTTCTTCCAGTCCTCATATGATTCATCCTATTTCCAAGCCCCCCAGGAGACCCTTTTTACTGCTATAGTACTGCTTCTTCAGGGTTTACCTGAAATAAATTTCCCCTCTCTGTCCTAACAAAGTGAGCCCCTAGTCTGTGTTCTTATAGCTGTCTAGCACACTCTCATAAGTCTCAGGAAGTTTTAAGTTAAATATTCAATCAAATAGTCATTTAATACCTACCTTCCTAAAATGAGAGCTCCGGGAGGCTAGGGACCCTCATCTGTCCTATTCATATGTCACCCAGCCCAGAGCGTGACACATAAATATTTGTTAAATAAAGAGCAGCCTATTTTATTCTCAGGCCATGCTCAGGGCCATGGGTTTTTTCCCCAGTTGTGACATCTGGAGAGTCAATCACCTCCTAATCTAGCAATATTGGATGAGCCCAGTTCTGAGTTTTGAGATGGGGAATCCAAAGATAACTGATACACTGCCCCAAACCCCAAGGAGACCAAGAAGTCAACATTTGCTGTTTCAGGGTTTACTCTGTTAATTGCCACTCCCTGTTTTGCTTTTATCAGTGGTGAAACAGCATTCAAGGCCATGATGGAGTCCTTTGGCTGGGCCCGGCGCCCAATGTTGGAGCGCATTCACTTAATTCGAAAAGATGTGCCCATCACCATGATCTATGGGGCCAACACCTGGATAGACACCAGCACAGGGAAAAAAGTGAAGATGCAGCGGCCGGATTCCTATGTCCGGGACTTGGTATGTTGGCCCATCCATCGAGTGGGAGTCGAGCAAGAAGCGCTGTGGGGTGAATGCCAGCCGGCGTTGGCTGACTCTCATCCTCAGGGTAGAGAAGAGTGATTAGAGTCCAGGGAAAAGAAGAATGAACAAATCAAAATGGGGTGGTGGACTTGAAAGCTTGTGCTTGCTCTGTGATACCATAGGTAAGAGCTTCCCACTTCTGTGTAGTCTATTTCACCTGAAAGGCAGGTTCTTGTCTAATAGGTATATGCTGCCACTCCAGCCCTGCCCCTGGTTATTTCTACCCCAAACCAGAGCTGTGAACGCTAGAGGCCACCATGAAGAGATCTCCTCACACTCTTTCTCTTTATTCTTAGCTCACCCTACCCTCTCCCTCTTTTGACAATAAGCTTGCTTAAGTAGACTGGGTGCCACCTACAGACACTGGGTTACTAATAAAAGGAGCAGATCAGTGGCAGGGCTGACACAGAAGGAAAGATAGAGGAAATGGCAAAAGAGGAAGTAGAATGGGATATTGAGATGCATTGCCTCCCAAAAGAAAGTGCCAAGATCCAGGAAGAAACAGGCTGCATTATTTTTTATAAGATAGGTAGCAGGCAAGCAAGTATAAGGGCGAAGGAATGGTGGGCCAGGGAGTAAAGCACCATCCTACACCTTTCTCATCCACAGTCTTCTCTCTGCAGGAGATTGAGGGTGCTTCGCACCATGTCTATGCTGACCAGCCACACATCTTCAACACTGTGGTGGAAGAGATCTGTGACTCAGTTGATTGAGCTGCTCTCACCAGAGGTGAAGGAGAAAGTCAGAGAGTTGCTCTCACCTCCCTGTCTGCTTAGTCACCCTCTCTGTCCTTTCCTCACCAACTAACATGTGCCAGCAAGGTAGAGTCTTGGGCTGTCCCCAAGACAGGACCACAGTCAGAAAGAGCACTCCTGATCCCATGCTGAGGGCTGCAGACAGAAGCCACCAGAGGCCTTGAACTCCCGCCACAGGAAAGAACGTAAAGAGTTGCCAGTGCCACCCAGTTCTCCCCATGCCAAGTGGTACCAGGTGATGGTTGTGAAGGGATTGCACTGAGCCACACTGCATCCTTTCTCTGGAGTGTTTGTGCAGTAGGTACCACGTAAGAACATCTTTCTTCTCCATCACCCCTCACTCCCATCCCATGCCAGCTCCATCCAGGGGCTAGTTGACATCAGTTCCCAGTTAACTACCAAGAGCAGCTCCTGGAGCTCCATTTACCTGCAGAGTCCTTTCCATGACCTAAGAGGTCACATGTAAAGGGCTCATTGGAAAATGAGGAAACAGGCCAAGGCAGGACATGGTTGACCCAGCTCTGTGTGATCAAGTCCCAGGTCTGCTAACACCTAGTGCACATTGCACACTTGATTTGCTAAAGTTCAAGGCAGCCACCATTGCCTTGGGGCTGGTCCTGCTCACTGGCTGAGTTTAAGCCTATGCCTGCCCCACATCCTAGCCCCAGTACGCAGGTATACTGTTGTCCTGGTCTTGGCTGCCTAAGCTGGGATTACTCAAGTACTTCCTTCCTTGCCCCGTCTTCCTCCCAATGGGAGGCCTCTGAACGTCCCTCTGTGCCTTGGGCCCTAGAGCCCCACATAAAGTATATATATATAGTTCCTGGTGGAGAGAGGGGGAAAGGCCCTTAAACCCCAGGGCCATGTCTGGGTTCATCATGCCCACTAATGTCTGCAGTGTTTTTCTATCTGCAACCAGAGCTGAGGCCCATCAAGAGCCACTGCTCCAGTGGGGATCCTCAAGCCAGCCACAGCCTGTCCTCATCAGCCACAGGATGGTTCTCACTGCCTGATCCTTGATCCCTGCCATCTCTCCCCATGGTCTAGCTCATCCCACCCCTGAACTACCCAGTCAGCCCCCTCCCAGGAACTCATTCCAGGTGCTGCTCTGAGGTTCTGGGCAATAGGCTGGGCCTGGCCCCAGAAGCAGAGCAGTTCCTGCCTGCTCCTTCACTTTTATAAAGCCAACCCCTTTACCAGAGTAGTATTAACTCCTGGTGCTTTGTACTACTGGTCCAGCTGCCTTGGGCTCCTTTTCTATATTAATAAAGAAATGAGTAAAAACTGCTGTTGGTGATATTCATTTTGTGCCACTGACTTCACAGAAATCCATGTGGTGCCCAAGTCAGAGAGAGAAGCCCTGAGAAGTACCTAATTATGCATCACTCTCTCTTCCAGTTAGTGCCCCACATGTCCTCCAGACCAGGGCAGACCATCCTGGCCAATCCCTGTGATGGCAGAGGAGCTGATCCAGAGGATAGGTGGGTTCAGCCCCAATTCACAGGAGAACTGGATGCTACCCCTGCTCAGCAGATACACTAGGTCAATGGGCCTGTTCTCTGAGGAGGATCTCAGCTCAAATATTCCTTAGGCAGATAAGCCTTCCCCTGACTCCCCAGATAGACCTGAACCCCATGTTCTGCATCTCCATGTCACATTCCACTCCTTTTGTAAGACTTGTAAACTTCATGATTACTTGTTCACTGGCCATCTTTCCTCCCTCAGTATAAACTACATAAGACAAGGGGCATTTCTGACACTTAGTTCATGAGTAAATACTTGTTTTGATCAACTCAAAGGGAGTGAGATATGCCTAGTGCTCGACTCATTTCCGATGCTTACTCTGCTAGCTGAGTTCGCTTAGGTCCAGGATTCCAGCTGTAAGTGACACGTGATACTTACTGCAAGTACACAAACAACAAATGAACAAACAAATGGACAGAACACCTCCTGGGATAATTACAAAGCTCTAATTCACCCCAGGACTCCGTCTTGTCTGAAGATCCCAATATGGAAGAGAGGGCAGGTATTTAGAGCTTAATACATGCCAACCACTAGAGCTATAATAATAAATAAATAATGTCCCTGACCTTGTGGGAAATCTAGTCTACTTGGAGAGACAGTTGTTAAGTAAATCAACAAAAGTTTGCAGATGAAAGGTGCTTCCCAGGAGAGGCTGGAAAAAACCTGCTGCAGAAATGGTGGCGGTTCACCTGAGGGTGAGCAGCTGAAGGAGGAGAGAGGAGAGCCCTGGAGAGAGCAGCGCCCAACTGTGAAAGCCCATTAGCGAGGGCAGATCTGGGATGGATCTGGGGAGGTTGGTAGGGACCAGTTCAGGCTGCCCCTCCGGCCATATGAAAAATGTGTTCATCCTCACAAGCAATGGAGAGAACTGAGCAACGGTCGGGGTGTGGGGTGTGACAATCAGACTGAAACAGCCACTTTGGCTGCTCTGACGCACAGCCTGAAGGATAATCCCTCCCCAAAGGAGAAATTTAAGGCTGCTGCAGTGATCCCAGCTAGAGATGCTGGTAGTTTGGACCTGACTAGTAGTTAGCGGATACAGAGTGGAGAAAAATCCAAGAGATGTTTGGGAAATAAAATTAAAGGGACAGTGTCCGGCCTCATCTTCTTTAAAGAGTCCAGCTTTGGAAAAGAGGTAACAAGTATGTAGTGTCCAGCCTCCCGTGTAGCTGAGACTACAGGTGAGTAACGGGAAGAGGATTTCTGAGAGAGCTGAAAATTTATGATATACCTGAGTGTGGTGACACATGCCTGCTGTCCCAGCACTTGGGAGGCTGAGGCAGGAGGATCATTGTGACTTCAAGGCCAGCCTGGGCTATGCAGTCAGTTCAAAGCCAGCCTGAAGTACATAGTAAGACCCTGTCTCAAAAAAACAACAAAAAGGATTTTTTATATACTTAATGGCCACTGGTGAATTATAACATAAACACTAGGCATCAGATACTTCCCAAAATTTTTGAGGAAAGAGAAAGGTGTCCAAATAAAATTGCAAAAGCATGTATTATAGTAATTGTCTCCTACCAGGGTTTACAGACTTCAGCTGGTCCAAGACAAAATATTTCTGCTCTATAATAACTAACATGTTTTTCAATATTTTCAAGTTCTAAAATTATGTTCTAATCTTTTCAGGATTAAATTGTTGTCTATTATGCAAAGATGGTTGATGTTCTATGATGGGGCTGAGAGGACATGTCATTTTTTTGTTGCTAAGCAGATCAATTTCAGGAATTTTTTCCCACGTGTTTTCAATTAAAATCCTAAAGTCTGTGAAGTGATGCACTGCAGAAGTCCACAGCAGGAGAGGAAGTTGAATTTTATCACAGGAAGTTAAGTAGATCAGTCATGTGGCTCTCATGGCTGGAGCATGGTCATAGGAAAGTAACATTGTTCAGAGGAAGCAGACTCTTCAAAGTACTTAAAAGTAGATGTGTGCCAGAAATGAAAGCTCAGAACTGAAAGTGGAAGTGTCTGGGTGGCCACAGAAGAAGAAACAGCCGGCACAATGGCATGCACCTGGAGGGCCAAGGTGGGAGGATCTGGAGCCCTTGAGCCCACGTGTTCTAGACCAACTTGGGCAACATAGCAAGACCACCTCCCCCCAAACCTCCACCCCTACCCCTGCCCCCCCCAAAATGATGGAAGCAAGGAAGAGGGGGGAAAAGGAGGGAGTAAGGAATAAGAAGAAAGGAGGAAAAGCAATTCAGGAGAAAAATAAATGTTTTATCTTCACAAAAAAAGAGCATAGGGATAAGTCACAGAAGAAAGTGATGAATGAAAAAATGAATATATAAAAAGATAGTCAATTAGAGGAAATACAAACCATGATGAAATGTTATTTTTTACGTGCAGATTAACAAAAGTTTTAAAGCTGGTTAGAGTTTTAAAGCAGTGGTGAAGAAGATGAATATTTTCATTTTGAGAAATGAATAGGTTTAAGTCTCTGCCTTCGTGGAGTTTTCCTTCTAAAAGAGGACAAATATAAATATGTGAATAAGATATTAGGTAGTACTATGAATAAAAGTGAAGAAAAATAAGGGCACAATAACAAGGAAATGGGTCTTTTTAAAATATAAGATGAGTTAGTGAGTTAGTGCAGCTGAGGAACAGGAAGCCCCTAAGGCCAGAGAAGCTGGATGAGTATGGAGGGTGGAAAGGTCAAGGGGCGGGCAGAGACTCCTACAGAAGGAACAGGGAGGAATTCTTCTCAGCTCCTAAGCAGGTCCACTCCTGGACCATCCTAACCACACCGTGCACGTCGCTCCTGCCCGTGGCCATAACCGCACTGGCCCTGTGGAGGAAGGGCTTCGCCTGTCTTTTTCCCTTCATTCCTTCAACAAAACTCGCTAAACTTCATCCAAAGTTACTGTGCTTGCAACTGGGGAAAAAAGAGCAAACTTCCAGTCCTAAATTTAAAGCAATCAATAGCCAAGGGATTGAAACTTCCAGTCTCAAAGTTAGAGCCATCAATAGCTGAGGGATTTAGAAGTGGCTGAGGCCTTGTTTTCACTGTAATGAATCTCAAGAGAAACCTCACAGCTTTACTCCAGAGAGGGGAAAGCTTTCCTCAGTGGATCAAAACTTAGGACTCCATGATTCCAAATTTCGTAGAAACTGGGAAGCAATCCAAGTCTACCAGGCCTGTACTATATGCGCTTTTTGAGTCACAAAGTCTCCTAAAAATGGCTTTACCCAAGACCTAATCAGGGCTGTTACTCCAATAATCCAGGAGGGTCTCTGCAACTGCCTAGAGTTGGGTGCAGTGAACCTTATTACCCACAGTTATACCGCTACCTCAAAAAAAAAAAAACAGGAGGAAAGATCATAAGGCCATATCTGCAGTTATGATTCACTTGCTTCTCACCAACAGAATCTAAAAACAAGTGTCCTCTTACTTGGCAATTTAATATTTTGATAAGGCTAGAGAAACAGGAAGCTCCTGTGAACTTTGAGCTCCAGCT